TCCGCCGCTTTTCGCCGGTGCGAAGCGTTGAATCAGTTCATCGCTTCCGTGTTCCAACGGGGATCCAAAGAAGAGATCGTGGCCTTGTTCGAACTGGGCTACAGGGACTTACGCCTACGAATGAATTGGACCGGCAACAGCTTGCTCCATCATTTTATGGTTAACGGCAATCCTGGCGTCGTCGATCTACTGATTGACAAGCAGCTGGATTTCCTCTACGATGTTCACATTGTGAACAATGGCGGACAGACGGCCATTTTCGGTGCACTGTGGTCCGGCAACATTGCCGGGGTGGCTTTTCTCGAACAGTGTGGCGTCGATTGTTTGAAGGTAGACCTGTCCGGCAACAACGCGTATCATAGCTATGTCAGCATTTGGGACAGGACGCACACCAGACTCATGGAGTTGATTCCTGGAGGTGAAGATCGCTCGGTTGTTGTTCAGACGATCATGAACAACTTGGATGCCTAGACGCTCTCCAATCTCAGTGGAGAGCCCGCTTACAACGAATATTTATAATCGGCTCTTTTCAGAGCCAAAAAATAGGCACTTTTCAGTGCCAAACGATTGGCCCTTTTCAGCGCCAATCAATCGGCCCTTCTCAGGGCCACCAATTGATCCAACGTATAAAACATATTGTTCTGCTATTTAACATTGTAATGTATTTCTTGTGGGAGATATCCCACTTGAGAAAAATAATAAATTCTTAGGTATAGCAAATGGCTTTTTTATTTTTTATGTCCTATCTATGCGTTAACTTTTAAGATTTTTATATTAAGCATTTTCAGGTGGATTAATTTTTTTTCGTTCTCCTCTGACCCTCTACAATTTCGATTACTTCGGTCATCGGACGTATTCTTCCATTCAGCGGTACGTATTGCTATACTTGTCGAATAATTTATATAAAATAATTAAAAACTTTCAATTGAAGTACTATCTAATTACATATATTTATCGACAGACTTAAGTAAAAATAATTTATCATATGCATGTATTAAATTACATATTTCATTTTTTTTTCTCTCGTTTAGCATGCAATTTACGAGAGTATTTATCATATCATACATGTATAATTTATCGACTCGAAAAAATACAATTCGTTAAATAATAAAGCATATTTTCCATGATGTTCAGATGTAAGTGTGAAGCACATTGAAAAATAAGAAAAAAAAATGAAAACACAGTTACTGCTAACTCATTAAACTATTTTAATTGACTTTTCTTCGAAGCAATTCGAAAGTACATAATCTATCTTCAGATAAAATTAGATTAATTTATCTAATCATTGTACTTTCACGTAACATCCATCAATGAGTGACATAATAGTCAACTGAATTTGCTTGGTGGAACGCTATTTGTTGGGGGGGGGGGGGGGTAATCCCATAGCAACGCTTTGCTGCTATTGGTGCGGCATAATTATGATTTTCAACGAAGAAGGGGAATGTGAGTCTGTTTCTACCACGGCACCATTCATATTCGCTCCCGCGAGTGTATATACTCACCCAGCCACCTAACCTTACCGGTCCTTTTCAGGACCACCTTCCTCTTGCGGTACCACAGCACCGTCTCTCTCCATTCCTGCACGAGCTTCTACAGCCATTGCCTCCCTAAGACTCCGACACTCTCTCAAACAGCCCTTGTCAGGGCTTACTCTACACAACAACAGTAAAGTCATGATGAACCACCGTATGACTCCCCTCCAAGGCAGCCTCAGTGAGCCGTCGCAGCCGACGCCCGGGGACCCTCAACAGCAATTACAGCAACAACAAGTCATCACTTCCGCAGGTAATAACTCTGTTAACTCCAACCCCCCTGATGGCTCTCAAAAGCCTCCGCCTGATAACACCCTCCCCATGGAAATTGTTAACCTCCGTGCTGACCTCGCCCGGCTTACCAAGCAACGGAACGATCTCCTCGCCGAATTCCAAGCAAGAATCGCCGAGCTCGACTGCCACATCGGCGTTCTAACACAAAACCTGGCTATCACCCAAGCCTCCGCCCCGCTACACCCCTGGACATCCAGAAAGCAAACATGGACACTAGCGTCCCTAAGACAGTACAAAACGCCTCTCTAATCATTCCCGCCAAAAAGCCGCGCTCCCACGCTAAGCGCCCTGCCGATAACTCGGCCAACTACGCTCCGACCGGCGCCACGGTCGATAACCCCTCCCCCCTCACGCCACCTAGCATTGCCTCTTCACAACCGAACGACGGTTTTCGTCTGGTTACCCCTAAGCGCAAGCTAAAGCGCAGTAAAACAAACCCTATCCTTGATCAACATATCCCAGATTCCTCCTCGTTTTCTCACGACAAAAATATGGACGCCGAAAACATCCCCTACATTACCCACCAAGTCCGAAAAGACAGAGATCTGCAAGTCGACCTCAGAGGCGTCATCGAAACGCTCTCCGAAGAAGACATCAAGAGCGAACTTGAATTGAAAAAGTTCCCCGTCAAATCCGTTTACCGCATGCGTAAAGGCGACAAAATCTGGCCCCTCGTGTTGGTTCATCTCGACTCTACCTCTCCCAATGCTGAATCTATCCTCGACCTGAAATTCCTCGGCGGACTCAATATCAAGCCTGAGCGTAAACGTAAGTCAAGTGACTCACCTCAATGTCTTCGCTGCATGCAATTCCGGCACACGGCTAATTACTGCCGTGCCAACTGGGTCTGCGCTTTTTGGGCAAAATCCCATCCCACCTCTACCTGCCCTCACAAAGATAAGACTAACAAATCACCCACTTGCTTTCATTGCAAAGACTAGTCAATTAAATCCCAATCCACCCTGGTGACATTGAAAAGTCAAAGATATTCAATCAATTGGTAGAAATATTCGTATAATCATGAATAATTATTTCATTTCTAAGTAAAATAGAAAATATTCAATGTAAAATGTTTAGGCTTTGCTATAGGGCTGAGTGTATGAGTAGTTGCCCTAATACAGTCGTTCATTATGAATATATTAATAAGTCTGAACGTCATTTGTTATTTTCTGTCTTTATCGCGCGTGCTACACGTGAAACGCAAAAAGTTTTTAATGTAAAGGTTTTCAAAGTATTAAAGGTAATTGAAGTTGTTTCATTCATAGTACTTAATTCGAATAAATCCATCATCATGACGCATCCTGGCCGGAAGTTATCTGGTGTGACAGAATTAGATTTCAATAATGCCGATGAAGCAGAAATATATAATCAAATTTTTATTTTGATAGAAGGCCAAGAAAAGTTTGGAAATATGAAAAATTTATTGTAATTAATTGGGTCCATGATGAATGTTATTATTGTATAGTAAAACATTGAAAATAATAATAGTTGGATTCGATAAATTTCGTTATTTAATAAACATCGGATAAATTATAATTATTTAAATGTTTCCGCCGATTAATCGATTATCCAATTATTTTCGATTATTTTAGCTGATTAATCGATTAGTCGATTGGTATAGAGCTTGATAATCGATTGTGTTCGATCGATTACTTTTGTGATAATTGCCTATCACTAATTTGGGCTGGTCACACTGTCAGAGTTGTTTCCTCAAACAGTGTATTTGAAGACAGACGATTACGGCTGCAATGCCTATCACGGCTATGTAGATATTTGGCAAAGAGGGGTGAACAGGCTAATAAACTTGGCACCTGTGCAAGCAGGAAACTGGCTCATTGCTCGGACGATCATGAACCATTTGGATGTCCAAACATTATCCAATCTAAGTGGAGAACCTGCTGACGACGAATAGTCACAATCGGCACTTTTCAGTGCCAAACGATCGTCCCTTTTCAGAGCCACAATCAATCCTTCTCAGGACCACAAATGAATCAAACGTAGAAAACAAATTCTTTCTGCTATTTTGTATTGTAATGCATTTCATTTGTGAGATATCCCTCTTGATAATATTAATAACTTTTTACGTAAGTTATTACTTATTCAATTATTCGTTCTGCTTACCCACAAAGTCCTTACGTAAGTACTTACGTTAAAATTTGCCTACGCTATTGTTTGTTTACCTTATCAAGTAAGTTCTAACAAAAAAATTAATTTATCGAAATACCTACACAAGGACTTATATGACCTTACTTATGTTGAACGTAAATTTTCTTTTCTCTTTATGTCAAGAAAGAACATATTTATCAGAAACAGTGGAAAGCACGTATAGCAAGTAGAATAAATTTCATACACATTAGCCGTCCGAGTAGAAAATTGTACGTGGTCATGGTACGTTGAAGTTGCTGTATCTTTCTTCAAAGTGGTCTTTGATATACGAGCGTTTTTTAAAAGGAGCATGAAAGAAGAGCTCATGTAGCTAAGCAGCCATATTTAATGAGCAACGATTCAGGTTTTATAAATCTAGTACTGTGCATCTATTTTACGGGGAGTGAGAGTCGCTGCGCTTAACTGCCGGGTGCCGTTAAAGTGCTTAAATAGAGAAATAGGCCTTTCTCAACTGGTATGATTTTTTGACTATTTGCGTTTCTTTTCTCGTTATATTAATAAGTACATATTTAAATTAATTATTTGTATGTTTACAATAAATCGTATATATTACGATACCCAATTTAACTTAGCTTAATAATTTCATAGTAATCTATTCCATATGTTGGTACAATATGTAATAATTTATATAAAAAAATGAAGAGTCATCGAACAGCCAATCTTCATTGAGTTGGCCAAAGTTCAGCATTAGCACTCGTAGATACGATGACTATCCGTAAATGAAACATAAAAATTGCATATGTTCATAAAAAGCTCAAGGGTTTAGGAGTAAATTATTAGTATTAACCATTTAATATTGTATATATCAAGACGAAATTTAACGATGGCTTGGATCTTATACAGTTGCGGGCAATACCATGCACCCGTGCGGTAGCGTTGGTTATTTATCATTCGTCAACGCGCTTAAAGTTATCGACGTGCCGTTATTGACCACTAGGAGCACTGGAGGTTTAAATCTATATTACGGTTCACACGAGCACACGACACACTACGGTGAGGACTGCTCCTTCTTCTGTATAACTATATTTAATATAGTCTTCATAGCTCCATCCTCGGTCTAACCATATTATCTAGGTATATACAGTCTCTATGCTAAGATGGCTATGTTTACGTGTTTTCGATGTTGTTCAATTATAACCTAACTAACTGTAAAAGCACGTTTTCGTTTATAGTGTATGTTTTACGTTAATTTTATAAGAGGATTATTACAAATTTGACAGTAAGAAACGGATAAAAATATTTTTAAATAAATAGATAATAAATGCTTCGAATACTTAGGACTCAGGAATTTTTCAACAGTGCTTGTTCTACCTGTAAGTAACATAAATTAAAAAAGTTATCCTTTTAATTTTAAAATAAATCTAGAAGTTCATAATTTTATGTTAACGTTCTCTTGTATATATAAATAAAATATATATAAACATATATAAGTACAATTTTAACAAAGTGAATATATTTTATAATGTTATGAAAAGTGGTTTACTGTTTCTTTTTTAGTCTGCACGAATCCATTTATATTTTGATTTTAAATATTCATTTCTGTTACCTTTAACCTCTTGTAGTCATTAAGATTTTCTTTCAACAGGTAATAAATTTTGTAGATCATTAACTACTAAATTGGACACGATGACTGAGATTAAAGAAATAAAAATCAATCACCCAGAAAAGCGATTACTGGAAGAAGACACAACAAATAATATTAAAAAACAAAAGACAGAAGCTTTTGTTAGAATAAAAAAGAAAAACTGTGCAATGATGTTAGGTTATTTAGGAAAAGATTATTATGGAATGCAAAGAAATCCTGGTATGAATACTATAGAAGAAGAATTAATAAAAGCTATGTTTAAAGCTAAATTAATAAATTCAGAAGCATTTGAAACAATACAATCAATTCATTTTCAAAGGGCTGCAAGAACAGATAAAGGGGTTTCTGCTGTGAGACAAGTTGTTTCCCTGAAATTACGTAAGATATTAAAAATCTATTTTTCAAATTTTTCATTTTGTACTACAATTTGGAAAATGTTAGTTTTCAATATTATGTCTTTATGCTACAGCTGAAAATCCTTGCAAAGATTCTATTAATGAAAATTTGCCCAAAGATATTAAGGTATTTGCAATAAAGCGAGTCACCAAAGGTTTCAACAGCAAATCACAATGTGATGCCAGAACATATTCTTACACACTACCCACTTTTGCATTTGCACCAGAACACATAGAATCTTATCAAGAAACAGGAGAATTTCAAGATATAGAAAAAAGAATACAACATCTCTCTACTATAAATGGGAAACCATACAGTGAATACCGTTTGCCGGAAGATAGAAAGCAGCAACTAAGTGATCTGCTAAAGTATTATGAAGGAACACATAATTTTCACAACTTCACAAGGCAAATGTAATTATTGCATGAAATTTTTATCAGAGTTATAGTTTTCATTTTTATTTGATATTTTATACCTAAAAATTATTTTAGACTACCTCTAGATCCCCGAGCAAAAAGATACATTATGAGTTTTGTAGCTGATGAACCTTTTATTGTAAATGACATGGAATTTATTACTTTGAAAGTAAAAGGACAAAGTTTCATGATGCATCAAATTAGAAAAATGGTTGCATTAGTGATAGGAATTTTAAGAGATATTGTAACAAAAGAAGATTTTGAAAAGGAAGTTTTTGAAACAAAAAAATATGAAATTGTCAGAGCTCCAAGCTTAGGATTGATGTTAAATATTGTGAGAAAGCCATTTATTTTATTTTATATGCATAAGAAAAAATATTAACACAATGATATGTTATTTAGGTGCATTATGATTACTACAATAAGAGGTATGGCACAGATGGAATACACGAGACACTTGACTGGGCTGAGTGTGAAAAAGAAGTAACAGAGTTTGAGAAAAATCATATTTTAAAATATGTTATCGACACAGAATTGAAAGAAAAAAGGTATCCTTTTTGAGACTTTTCATAATATCCATGGAGATATTTTTAGAACGTAATTCATCATGAAAAGTATTTTTCTTAATCAATTGTTTAGTATGCTCGAGTGGTTAGCGAGTCTTAATGTACAGTCGTTTGGACCACGAAGCGAAAATCAATTAGATAATGATAAAGATGATGAAGCAGCGGATGATTGAAGAAATATGTATTATATATTTTATGATCTTCTTTTTGTTACCAAGAATTGTACATTATGTTGAGCGAATAAACAATTATACTGATTAATTGTGCTCAGATCTAAAAAGTCCTTTTGATCTGCTAAATTTTTTTAATACTTGTTTATGAGATTTAAACAAACAGTTATTCTTAATTGCTTAAATTTTTTTTTTTGATGGTGAATTTTGTTGAGTCTTGTGCTAATTATGCAATTTGTTTAGCATTTTAGTTTGCTTATAACAGATTAAATCACCTATTTATATATTTTTCCAATGTGATTGTAATCTTATTAAGCTGCAAAAAATATTCTTTTCAAAATCTAAAACGAAATCTAATATCAATTTCTTTGTCCCGCATCGCAACACTTCTTTATGTCGTCACATTTGAATATTAAAATTAATCTTTCCTCGACCATATTTTAATGGTACAAATTATTTTATTAGACTTTTTACACAAAGTGCATATAAAATCCTCGGTCATTCAGCTGTCTTTCATCTACCGATTGATATCAGCGTGAATGCGGTGATTTATCATTGTACATTATGCAGACAGCAGACGCGATTTTTTTCTTGATTCCGACACGAAAATCTATTATTATATAAAAGTCTATTTATTTGAGCAAGATAATATTTAATATTCGCAAATATGTACTAAAATGACATGAGAGAGTTTTGCAACTTACAAGCTCACAATAGCCTGACGTTTTTAATGAATTTAGTTAGTCGTGCGAATTGTAAGTTACTCTGTGTTACACCTCTGCGCTTTTTATTCTTACGGGAAAACGACGAAAACAAATTTACCTGTTCAAAATTCATCCATGGATTAAATTCCTGTAAGCTGAGTTATCATTTTAGGATAGGTTTGCCGAAAAACTCTTTATGTAACCCAACCCTTTTAAAACCCTTAGTAAAAATTACTTTTGCCACAAAACATCGTTTATAAAATATACATGCCTTTCAATTAAGTGATAATGTTAATATCGTAAAGTTAAGACGTAAAAATCACTGAATAATAGTTTCACTTTCTGTTATTTGAACATTTTTCTTTATCACTATTATTCATTTTAATTTAAAAATGATTAACGCCTACATTTCAATTATCGATGGATTCCAAATGCTATAATAGTTAATGAGAAAACAATGTCGTTTATCAAGGTATTTCCCTAAATGCTTTGAACTTATTTGTCAATTAATTCAAAAATTTTAGTTTGATGTAAAGTCGGCTCTGTTCCTATACCTTCTCTATAGTTTTGCTCGTAGTTTCGCTTGAAGAAGAAGATCGGTCACTCTCTACCCTCCCTCCCTCCCTCCCTCTCTCTCTCTCTCTCTCTCTCTCTCTCTCTCTCTCTCTCTCTCTCTCTCTCTTCTCTGTGCTGGTAGCGTCTCCAATCGTAATCAGCGATCGACAGCCTTGGATATGTTCAGTAAGCGTCTCGGGAGCGAGTAAGAAAGGTGCTTTGCGCGACGTTCTCCAACTGTACAGCAGCAGCTCTCTTCGTAGTGGATGATGGGCCTCCGGCTGGTGGCTCTCGTAGCACTATGCGGTGAGTCTCTAATTATCGACACTCGCCACTATTAATCATTTGCTGAATTATATGAAATCGTTTACGTAAAGCTGGTCGACCAAGTGCCGGATTGCGCTGCGTGTCTATGTATGCTCGCGCGCGTGTGTATGCACCGTATGCACCGTTGAATCGTATCAAATCCAAGCGTACCAATAAACAAGAAGTATCAGTCTTTGGATGTATCATCGACGCGTTGCAATATAAAGCTCATTGGCACGAGTCTTCTTTCAGAGAAACATCGGCTTTAGGAAGTATTGTCGCACGAGGAAATCTGTTAGTTGATGTAATTGCGTGTGGTTTCTCGCTGCCTTGCACTTCGTTGCTTTGCATGCTTACACATGCTCTTCGCACTTTTTTATAGTTTTCATTTTGAATTATCTTATCGTCGATAAAACGTAAGATCATTTGCATGCATCTTGCCTATAATTTGCCAAGCCGGTCGACGTTGCCCATGAAAAGCTGAGCAATAATGAGTCACCGAGGTCGTTATACGCAAGATCGAGCGACTAGTGCACGCGGGGGTCAAGGTTCGCATCCGCGATAACGTCTGTATGCTTACTTCCGAAATGCAGATCTCAAGCGAATGCGCTATTGCTTAGGCCTCCAGTGTCAAAGGTAAAGGATTGCCCGTACGAGTTCGCGACTTATTTTGATATATCATATGCGCGCGAGGAAACCGGTTTCTAACAGGACCATAGACGTTCGGGTGCTTTGCCCTTGAATCAACTTTTTATCTCATGCTAGCTCTTTCCTGCAGCCTACCAGTCAAACATAGATGCTCGATTTTTGCAATACGATCGATCAGACTTTAAATCTTCATAAATCTATTAAAACTAAATAAAATAAATAAGGCAAGACTAGATCCGACGGCGAACGATCGGCCACTGACTATAAATCGACTGCCGTACAGTACAAGCATTCTTGTTTCAACAGCATGCATTCGGGATGCAGTAGCGGTAAGACAGGGCAAAATAGTGGACTTGAATCGTTTCGGAGAGAACTCGGCGAGCTGCGCGTAAGTTACTGATAAGCGGCGTCACGTAGACCCATTTACCCGGTAGCCAACGTGCGCAATCTAATAAAAAAAAATGAAGTTACCACAAGTTCCGCTGCAACACCGGCCAATGTATCTCGAGCGTGTTGGTGTGCGACGGTCGTGTCGACTGTCTGGACGGCTCGGACGAGACTCGCGAGGAATGCAGTAAGCCCGGCGCCGCGCAGTGCACCGCTCGCAATTTCCGCTGCGACTACGGTGCCTGTGTCGATGGCGATGCTCCCTGCAACGGAGTCAAGGACTGCGCGGACAACAGCGACGAGACTTTGCCCAGATGTCGCGGCGCCAGTCCTGCCGGCGGCGACGCCGAAGTCCAGCCGGCCAGATGCCGAAGCGGCCAGTACGAGTGCGACAATCGTCAATGTATCGGCAGCACCGAGGTTTGCGACGGCAATATCGACTGTCTCGATCGTTCCGATGAGACTGCTGCGGTCTGTCGATCTTATAAGTAAGTTAATATTTCTTTTTCTAATGATTTCATCAGTTCAATTTACTTCATTTGTATTCAGTCATACAAATAAGTTTTGATATTATTGAAGCAAAATATTCATCAACTATGAAATAGTTGTGAGAATGATTTTAAAGCTCGGGAATGTTTTTGCGATAAGCTGTTATTTTGAAATTAGCCAAATAGGCGCGATAATACACCAACGTTGTTTTCAGTTCCATACATTGACCCTTGTTACAAAATAACTACATCTGATAACTACGTCGTTACGTAAAGTCTCTCTTCGGAATATCTCATGAAATTTATTTGTCGAACCCGTTCGACGCAAATAATAATCAAACGAAAATATTGTAATGAAAAGGCTGTCAGTTGCCAACAGGTGAATTTCCGCTGCAACTACGGCGCCTGCATCGACGGTGACCTCAAGTGCAACGGAGTAGTCAATTGCGCGGATGGTTCAGACGAAGACCCGCAACTTTGTTCGAACACCAGACCGGCACAGACAACAACCACTCGGCGGCCAATTCAGAGACCACAGCAAACTACGAAAGATCCGTACAACGTAGATCAGCCAAGACCAACCAAGGATTCTGGCAATCCATGGGGCAACCGACCGACTCAACGACCACCTTCCAGTCAATGGACACAACCAACTCGGCCGCCAGTGACTCGTCCAACAAGTAGTCTTCCTCAAGCACCTTTCGGTAGCAGTTTGTGCTCGTTGCCCAAGCAGCCACAAAATGGTCACTGGTACTTGGACGAAAGCCAGTGCCCAAACCAATACAAGTGCAATTTGCCTAGCAACGTGAAGGACTTACCACCGGGCAGTATACTCCGCTACGAGTGCAACGACGGCTATAGGCTCAACAATACCGATTACAAGGCCTACTGCTCGGCACTTGGGACCTGGTCCATCGATCCCGTTTGCGAGGGTCAGTTTCTTAAGTGCATCTCGCATTGACATGCTTATAACGAATGAATTTGCCACTGCAGCGATAACCTGTCCACCGTTGGCTTCGGCGTCTCGCTCGGTCGAGTGCACCAAGCGTTCTGGCGATTGGATATCGTGCGACAGCCAAGGAGTGCCACCAGGCACTTCGGCGAGGTTAACTTGTCGCAACAGCTACATCCAAGACACGACGGACTTGACGACTCGCGACGACGTCAGGTGCAACGCTGAGGGCGAATGGGAGCCCAAGCCCATCAATTGTGTTTCAGGTCCGATTATTCGTGTCAATAGTTACATCAAGGCTCGTTTTATCATTCTCAAAGAGACCCTCGTTATAGTCTGTCTCGTGATCACGTTATGCTCAAATCAACAAGTGTTAATTGCGACACTTGGACAAAATATGCTAACGTTTCGAGAGTCGATATCAAGGTTTTGGCTAATGAAGAAACCATTAAGCTCATGAACGTTTGCCTTAAAATATACAGACAAAGCGTTACTTATTTTATTTTTTCTCTCACGTCGGATTTTTTAGCATTAACACACAGCAACGAGCAAATATTTTTAACGTGCGATTGAATATTATGCCTAGCTATTTAGTTAATGTCCTTATTTTTTAATTGTGCATTTATGCAAGCTCGTCACAGAGATCGTAGATTGAATAAGTTTTATCAATGGCAAAGGCTAAATGTCAGCGACGCAGGAATACTTGTGTGAAGTAAATTATAATGATTCACATTTAGAATTTCTTTTCGCTCATTTCCAAACCGAGTCTTACATACTTAAATATCGAAAGATAGTGGTCTAAGGATTATATCATGCTTTCCGCATAGTACTTCTTAGCTTGTCTGTATATTTAAATGATATTTACAAATTCGATTAGAATAAATTTAATTTAATTTTGTGCAATTGAGTACTTTTACTGTAATTTTTTTGTTCGAATTATGTTTCTTAAATGTTTTTAATCCATCTATATAGTTGGATTACAATTTCATAAGTATATTTATAAAAATGTTGTCAATCATTTATCCAAAATCACTTACCATTGAAAATTACAGTCTGTGGAATAGCAACAAGTGGCTCGGGTACACCACTTATTGTTAACGGAACGAGCACGTCCATATCCGAATTCCCGTGGCACGGAACTTTGTACCGACAGAAGAATCTAGAAAAGCAATTCATCTGCGGAGCAACCGTCATCAGGGACGATATGCTAGTGACAGCTGCTCATTGCGTTTACGATGAGGCGAAGCGAAGAATCGACAACGCCAACAAATATTTTGTCGCTGTTGGCAACATCTTCAGAGATTACGATTACGACGGAAACGATCCAAGGACGTTCAGAACTGCAAGGGTGAGTGTTGAGCAATTGATCGAGCATGCGATTGATGTCGTCGCTTTGCCTCGAATTTACAATACGACTGCATTGCGATGAATTGCAGGTGAAGAGAATCTACGCGCAGTGCAATTACTTAGGTCTGTCGGGTAATTACGCCATGGATTTAGCAATCCTAGTGATCGATCGGCCTTTCGTGTTCAGTGCACTACTCATGCCAATTTGCCTCGACACGACTGGTGTGACCGACCAAGCTGCCCTCGAGGTTGGCAACTATGGCCGGGTTCCTGGCTTCGGTAGAACCGCCACTGGTTACTCCAGTTTCGTGCTGCAAGCTATAACAGTGCCCTACGTGTCGCAGACCGCTTGTAAAGTTAAGAGCGCTCAAGCCGAGAGTGACAGGTTTCTTACATCCGACAAGTTCTGCGCCGGCTACACTAATGGTCATTTCATATTTTTATTTTCAAACGATTGATTTCAAATGCGCTGTCAAACTGTAACAATTGTTGCTCGGTTATAGGCTCGTCCGTTTGCGACGGAGATAGTGGTGGTGGCTTGGTATTCAAGACTGATAACAAATGGTACTTGCGCGGTATTGTCAGCGTAGGAATCGGAGCATCGAAGCAGGGAGCTGTAAGAACTTGCGATAGTCATACCTACTCGCTTTACACTCGAGTGTCCAAGCATATGGACTGGATTCAAGACGTTATAATCAAGGAGGAAACCAAGAAACCTTACGTCGCTTGCCCTTAAGAAAATCATCTTTGTTTTTCTTTTCAGTGAATAAATAAATGAAATCAAAGTGAATTAACTCCATTCTTTTACAACAACGAGCGTCTCTTGTTTGGCAGTATTTTCGGATTCATGGAGCTTTTATCTAAGTGAAAACTAGTCATTGTTCTAAGACTGACGATGCTTTGTTCCAACTTTGTTTTCCAATAAACAAAAGTTATAAAGAGTTAATTAATTGACAACAACTCAGTTTTACCCTGAATAATCCTATTATAACCATCCTCCAAATTTAAGATCATCGTATAATGACTTTGTAGAATGTGAGATTTATTTTGTTAATCGATCTTGCGAATAAAGACCAATCAATGAATCAATTGAGTTGATCGACAAGTGATGAATTTAACTAAAAATCTTGCTTTATATTTGCATTTTTTATTTTGTTTGGTTAAAAATGTCATACGCACATTCGCAAAACTTCAACTCATACTAAAACAGATTGCAAATATTGTTACTTACCTACGAACTAATAGATAGTTCAGTATCATCAATAAACTGATATTCTCTTCTGTGGTGACAAATAAGCTTGTAAATATGGTGTAAACTTGAGATTTTGAAAGTAAAATATGACATGAAATCAAAAAGAAAATAAGAGCGCGCGAAACGCGTCTTACCAAGCTAATATTATAAGTTTATACGAAATAATTGTCGGCATAATTAATCGACTTAGCTGTTGTATGAGGAATTTTATTGTTATTTAAGACATAAATTAACTTTAATAGAAATTTCAGTTCAATTAAGACCTTTCTAGATTTTACACTCGCTCTAACGACATCTCTTGTATCCGTACAGCTATGGTATGCCGATGTCTAATTTTTTCTTAGAAATCAAGTAACCGCACTTCTATCCGCTTGCGATTTACTAGTAGCTACATTTAATAAATATATAATATTACAAGATCCCGTCTGTATATGTATTAATGTAGCAATTTTGGCAGTCGACTCGGCTATACAAGTTCATTTACGGATAGACAAACATAGCGTTTTAGAAAACAGTAAGTTGAATAAATTTATTATCGCCTAATTATTTATCTTGAAGAGTTCATGATATCCTATATTCCATGTCTCGGTGCAAACAATCATGTACAGTTTTTGCTTTAAGCTATCAATAAGTATTTCAAACAGATCAAAATTGGCATTTAAGCCTCTTACGTTAATATGGAGAACACAGAAATTATTACTCAAATTTAGTCGATTAACATTATTGATATATTGTTGACTTCAAATACTTCTGTATATTTAAAATCTTGATTATCAACGGGTGTTTCCAGGTTTCCTAATCTTGTTCACATCTCACTTTGCTAATCCATAATGACCAATCCATAGTTTATTTTGAAATTACTTTCATTAATATCATTAGTAAGCGTGGAAAACTTCTTAGTCCTAATTATAAGTTTGTGATACTGATTTATTCACTGGATTTATCTTATGTATACTCATAATAGTCATGTTGTTCGAATTGCTTATATCTTTCCCATTATAACCGAAAAGTTTAGGAATTAATGATTTCATACCTTTAAACATATCCATCTTACTCAATGTCTCGAAGAAAAAATGACATGAAAATGCTAAGTACTATCTTTTATCTTTGTTAAATTTTGAAATTTCACGAACATGCGATCATTGGTTCTATCTTATTTTTACAAAGACAATATAAAAATTAAGCTTTCTACAGGAAAATGCATAGAACCTAAAATTTTTGCACTTTCTAATTAAAAAGTAAAATAAAATCAACGATCAGATGTTCACAAAACTTTGACGACATAAAGCTCGTTAAATTCTAAAGTGAATACCATGTTTCACTACATCGTTGCACTAAATCTCTTTTGTAATTTATTCTAACTATTAATAAGAGTTGAAAATTTATATAAACATTCTTGAGCTGTTTATAAACGTTGTAAAGTTAAACATATTTCGATTTTCAAAAATTTATAACGGATATTTTTTATCAAAGTTATGTTTTTGTTAACATTTATAGTTTTATTTTGCGCCGATAAAGTTAGACTAAAGTAATTCTAAAAATTCTGAAAATAATTTACTCAGCTGTTAGTAAAAACTGATCAGGAATAATAACCCTTGTATACAGTAACAAAACAAAGAAGGCGGAGGATTCTGAAGGGCCATCTAAGCTGAACCGCACCATCGCGACTTGCTAGCGCTCGCTCCGCCACGCCAGATGATTCATGGGTTAAAATATAACTTATATATTTATATATACTATATTAACGTTAGCAAAAGTTGTATTATATTATACGACGCTACGAACTATTTTCCGGAAAATTTTAAGCACATATTTGCATAGGCGAAAAATTATATTTGTATTCGTATATTTGCGCATGCGAAGATTTTCACGTATACGTACTGCTCGCCGTATAGGCAGAAGATCGTTTGAAAATTCATACTGAAGGTCGCTACTTCTGTAGGACAATATTTATGTCAAGTTTTAGGTTGTATGCAGTTGATCGTGATAGCTATCCAAAGCAAGTATTGTCATGAATTGTTACTTTTTTAACTGAGAAAAATTATTTATTGTTAAAATTTAATGAAACGAAAAAGTTTATAATACGTTTGAAAAAAAATGTTGGCCCTGAAAAGGGCCGATTGATGTTGTTTCGGCATAGGGAGGAAGGAAAATTACTTGAAACTGGTGTACTTGGTGACATATTCTGTATGTTTGGCGAGTTCACCGGGAAGAAGCTGACAGCAGTCTAGATCTCCCGAAAGATGATGGTAGAGCTGTTGTGTTGATTCAAACGCAATGCCTCAGCAGCAAAGTGTTTGAGAATTATTGACAAAACTGTTTATGTACTCACAGCTTTGCTAGAAACTTCAGTGTTTGGATGGACTTGTTTAAAAATTTTGTAGATATAGATAGCGTAGGATTACTTCTTTTTGTTTTCATATTTATTTTTGGCATCCTTGATGATGTTCTAGGCTTTGCCCGACTTTTTCACGGCCTTGCTGCTGGTTTTTTCAGTTGAAGTCATTGTAAAAATTAAAAAGTTATCGATGCTATACTCAGATACTTTCGATAATATTTGCCGTAATTCAGGGTATCAGTTATCTGTATTTTGAAGTCAAAGCTCTCCACTGATTTGAGCTAGGGAACATACCTAGCGGTAGCCAGCTTAACGCATAAAGTGGAGTGAGGTTTAAACCACGGCGTGAGACATCTCTGTCCATATATTTCTCTCCGTAGTGGAAATCATTGACAAGCTTGACACCGCCACAACGAGCCAGACGGCGGAAAACGTGTTCGGTGATTGGACCGTAGATGACTGTAGACGTACCTGTAGGACAACGTTTGACGCCTGCTAATCCCAAACCTATTCCTACCTTTCGTCGTTGGGACATGTTGAGATTTATGGGAATTTAATTAATGCTCGTCTGTAACGACAAAAACTGATACTAATAAATGTTTATCTGTTCAGCAACTGTAGCCGAGTAGCACTGAATAGTCCATCAGTACACTGGCGCTTAGTCAGGTGGAGGGGAGAAGGGCTGGTCATCCGAAATAGCAAAGTGGGGACTAAACGAACGTTCCTATTGGAGCGCTTGGAGTCCTAGTAAATTACCACATTCGATGCTCGAACCAAACTGAAAATAATTCAGTCTAAGCGACTGTACGTTTGTTACGTATTCAAAGCTTGTCTCCGATACATTTCTTGAAAATGTCTGGACGTGGTAAAGGCGCAGGCAAGGCCAAAGGCACTAAATCGAAAACTCGCTCGAGCAAAGCCGGACTTCAGTTCCCTGTCGGACGTATCCATCGTCTCCTTCGCAAGGGCAACTACGCTGAACGCGTCGGTGCTGGAGCTCCTGTTTACCTCGCCGCCGTTATGGAATACTTGGCTGCTGAGGTTTTGGAATTGGCTGGTAATGCCGCTCGTGACAATAAGAAAACCAGGATCATCCCGCGTCATCTTCAACTTGCCATTCGCAACGACGAAGAATTGAACAAACTGCTCTCTGGTGTCACCATTGCCCAGGGTGGTGTTCTACCCAATATTCAGGCAGTTCTCTTACCTAAAAAAACTGAAAAAAGCTCTGCTTAATATATATATATTTTTTAACCATACATATCAGTCCTTTTCAGGACTATCATATTATCAAACGTTGAACTATATCTATTGGTTTTTTAGAATCTTTGTATGACTCAACTATCTATGAGTGTTTTACACTTTATTACACACATTTTCTATAGTAGTACAGGTAATTTAGACAATGCTTAGTACACGTTTTTTCTGAATCATATTCTGAATAAAGCAGACTGTTTAGGAAACAATGTCAATTACAGATATTTCGTTAAATTTAAACTAGTAAGGGTATATTTGAATCACGTATATATATGGTAATAATAGTTTTTTTTCAGCGATCTGAAAGAAGCATTTCCCGGTCACGACTCGGTCCGGTCGATGACATGCTAATTTCGGCTTCGCTATGGAAAAAAAACTACGTATACCACGGCCGGAAAATTTCCCGGCCTAGGTACGTAATCAACTATTTCCGATCTATTTCGACCGGATATCATCACAACAAAATAAATATTGTAGTCATCTTTAACTGTTGAAAATCCACGTCAAATAAGACGACGTGTGTCAAAATTAAATAACTAGTGATTAATAAACATAATAAGTTAAAAAACAAGTGTTTTTTTAAAAACTTATTCTCACAATAAATCCAATTCGTTGAAGTATGCTGCAAACGATACATATTTAATGATATAAACACGTATGCTCTTTTCTGATTGCGTATAATATATAATGGGTTATATCTTACGATCGAGTTATAACATTGGAATAATCAATGCAAAATCATTTTCATTTATTTCGTATTATAAAATGCTATTTATTACTGTTTATTTTATAGGATGAGCGTCCCTATTACAGGATCCTTTAATTTAATTTAATAATTTAGGTCAATGCATAAGCAAAATAATTTGGTAGTAATCTAGGCAACTAATTTAATAAATTGCAAATTATTTGGTGACAAAGAAATGAAATATATTTAATTGATAATGGTATAAAAGTGATTGGATTTGACTTTTTCTTAAGACCAATTACCGACCAAAAAACAATTTACAAATAAATAATATAAAATGTAATTAAGGGACATTTTTTTCTATTTGTTTCAATTGTGTAACCGGTGTATATTGTGCTGCAGTACATATTGAACAATTTGATATATTTATGTTCTATTATAACTTTACAAAAGGTAATGCTAATGTTACTAATTAAAGGTTCTTTGGTTTTTGAAGAAAAAAAGTCTCTCAATTGAAGTTAGTATCCACGTTTTTATTGTAGAGGAAAAGGGGAAAATGACTTTAAACAAACCAAGGTAAAATTTTTGATTTTATACGTTATATATAAAATATACAATGATATATAGCATTTTACAATTAAAGAAAAATATAATAATTTGTTATGGTTGATTCCGATAGAAATGCATTTAATGATATGCTACAAATAATTTTACAACGTTTATTAGTGTAACTTATGATAATTGATAACTAAGCTCTTTGTATTATTAATGATTGAATAATTTTATAATAAAAAGCATTTCGAACAAAAAGAAATCATGCATGTTCATATCAATAAAATGCATTGTTTGCAGCATATTTCAATAAATTTTATTATTCGATGCAATAGAAATAAATTATTGAAAAATAGTACATTACGACATAAGTGCTGGAAAGTAGATTCTTGTCTTGTATGGCGTTTACACTCGAACGAAGCGAGAGTGGAAAGGTATACGAGACGAGAAACTCCCGAACATGTGCCGTACCGTATTTTTTTATACGACGTATGGAAAGAATGATTTTCAATGCTCTTTTTCTACCGAGCGTGCGGGAAAGACGCACTTTGCGCACGGAGTATCGAAATAATTATTTTTTAATAACTAATTACTTAATTAAGGTCAGTTTTTATTTATTTTTCTTTACACTGCACTTATAAGTGCTTCCTCTGCATACTATCAGCAGGTATATCATACTATAATTACCAAAATTTTGTGCAAAATAATGTACTATAGTTTATTATTTTTTTTCTTAACTCGAAGAGATCAACTATGCTGTTGGTAATATGATCTAGACCGAATAATAAACAACTTTAGTTTATTAATTATTCCTAATGCTAAAAATATCTTGCATTAGTATATTAAATCACTGTGGGCCCATCGCGACGATATCACAATTTATTTTTTTGGGAGAGGTGGTAGTGCGGGCATACCTTCTTCGGCGAGAGAATTTAACGGGACGACCACGTTTCTTTATGTTTTTGTAGCCGAAGCCATGAATAAGCTTGACACCGTCATAACGAGCTATACGGTGGAGTAGCATTATTTCTCTCAAGAATAGTCCCGCGGTATAGTGGTGGCAAAGTCACGGATAGCAATGGAGAGGGGGGGGCTGGTCATCCGAAATAGCAAAGTGGGGACTAAACGAACGTTCCTATTGGAGCGCTCGAAGTCCTAGTAAATTATCACATTCGATGCTCGAACCAAACTGAAAATAATTCAGTCTAAGCGACTGTACGTTTGTTACGTATTCAAAGCTTGTCTCCGATACATTTCTTGAAAATGTCTGGACGTGGTAAAGGCGCAGGCAAGGCCAAAGGCACCAAATCCAAAACTCGCTCGAGTAAAGCCGGACTTCAGTTCCCTGTCGGACGCATCCATCGTCTCCTTCGCAAGGGCAACTACGCTGAACGTGTCGGTGCTGGAGCTCCTGTTTACCTTGCCGCTGTTATGGAATACTTGGCTGCTGAGGTTTTAGAATTGGCTGGCAACGCCGCTCGTGACAACAAGAAGACCAGGATCATCCCGCGTCATCTTCAACTTGCCATCCGCAACGACGAAGAGTTAAACAAACTGCTCTCTGGTGTCACCATTGCCCAAGGAGGTGTTTTGCCCAATATCCAAGCAATTCTTTTACCAAAGAAAACTGAGAAGAGTGGTAGCAGCACGAAAAGTAGTCAAGAATATTAAATCTAATAACTTTTTTTCCATATAAATAATCAGTCCTTTTCAGGACTACCAACAATATTAAACGTTGAACTATCTATTGATTGTTTAAATTCTCTGCACCTTTTCAAAACATAACATGCGAATCTTACATATTTGAATAATTGTTAATCTTCCATTACTAATGTTCTAAATAACTTGCGATTATTTAACAAGTATTTCAGTCTCTTATTATTTAGCGAAACAGATAACGTAATATTTTTGATTCTCTTTTTCGATTTTATTTACCATGAAAGTTTTATGCTAGATATATTGAAGCAATAACTATTTCCAACAACGTACGACATTATTTAAACAACAGCCAATAAGATTAACTGAAAAATGTCTATGAGGCTGCAATTTCGTTTACATTACTTTTTAGACGCATACTTACCTCCAATGCAAAATATTTTATCTTTTATGTCTTGAAATTTGCATGTCCTACACGAAGTGAATCATCCTACAGTCCGATTCAGCACACGACACACGCGCATGCATATATATATATATATATATATATATATATATATATATATATATATATATATATATATATATATATATATATCCTAGCGTGCTTTATTATATTTATATTCATTATTCATGTATATAAAATTAAGCAAATTAGATGATTTTAGAGACAGGTTCCACAAAAGCTTGGGCACGTCTGAATAATTTAACATTCAGGGGAGGCAATACAAAAGAGTATATATATGTAGGCAAAATAAATTATAAATATTATTCATATATTTCGTTATTCGATTTCAAACAGTACACGAAAAATTTACTCGATAACTTGGTAAATTCAGATAAAAATTATACTATAATCATCATTAAACAATGCAAAAACGTACATTTTTTGTGTAGCACATGTTAAGATTGCGACAGTCAAAGCGGCAATATAAATCAATAACATTGAGCGATTTCAAAAATCTCATCTTCATTGTTGGTAAATTAATGAACGGTTCCATAATCTATTGCGTGAAAATGATTCTGATTGCATCATAAACTTAGCCATTAATGTAATTAACAATATCTTATACCTTAACGCTAAATTTAACGGTCTTTAATACGCTTATCACTGTCTAAGAAATGAAAAAAGTTCATAATTAAAAAAAATTTTTGTCTGAACGAGTTTTGTTTGAATGGCTAATGCATCCAGAAAATATTTATCTGCAATGGTTGAATTGAATGTTTTGACGTGTAAGGAAAAGATTACAGTGACAAGAGTGACGAGAATCTTCCGAGACGTACGATATTGTGGTGGTGATGGAAGCGAAGCGACCAATGCAAACACGTACAAGTGCGACAATGATTAACGTATTAGTAATGGCGAGATCTGTAACGGCAATGTTGACCCCTTTGATCATTTCGATGAGAATATCACAATCTAAAATCTATGCATCTTTATAAAAAGTTGTTTGAATATACACTACTTTAATAACTACTTCAAAACGTTTTATGTAAAAATTTAGTAGTGGAGGAATTGAATCGGCAAATAACACTTTTAATGCTTTTACATATGAGTATCCAGTTACATAAAATGGTTCAAAAAACAAAAAAATAATTAGCTTAACATCCCTTGCTTATAAAACATATTTTTCTATATATATTAACTACTATTAAATAAATAAATGGAACTAAAGTCAAAACTATATTGTTTTGATAACTAAGCACATGTTTTCTGTTTGAAAATATTTTTCATTTTCTCCTTAACCAGCTATTTCTTCTAAAAGTAGTCATTGTGATAAGATTTTACTTCAAATCATTGCTTCAAATTTTCAAATAAAAAGGATTAATAAATAAGTTACAGTTGATAATAAGTCAGTTTTACCTTTAACAGTTCTTTACGTTTGAGATTACGATGGCTTTACAAGTACTTTATTTTTAGGTTCTGGTAAATCTGAAAGTAATTTTTTATTTATAATAACAATAGCAGTGAAATTTAAATTAACTATTAACTATAATTTAAGAATATTATTGACTTACCATGTAAATCTAATTCTGACAAATTAGGTAATTCAAACGAATTGAAGGATAAAGGCTTTTTCTTGTCATCTTCTTTCGGATTATCCCAAGCACTTCCCATTATCTCAGTCAATTCTTTTTCCAATTCAGAGTCTGACTCAGAAATATGTACAGGTTGTGTCATCACAGATTGCACTTCATTGAGTTCAGCCAAAATCTGAAAATTTAAAATTATATAAATTTTAAAAAATTTATGTAAAACATTAATTTAAGAAAAATTAGAAATTATGAATGTAAAAAATCTTACATCAGACATATCATCCATAGTGTCCTGTACATGACTTTCACTCAAACCAGTATCCTCAAACTTCTTTAAAGCATTGCAGCCAGCTTTATATGCTGCCAATGTATCTGTATCATAGCAAGCATCATGAATTCTGACCAAAAGCCTTTGAACATTTTGTAATGCTGCACTTCGCTTTTCAATGCATTTATCAAGTTCATGTTTCTTTCGTAAATGACTCTTGGCTACTTGTTTCAAACCATTTGCTAAGGATGATTTTGCTTTCGTTATGACTTCATTTCTTTCAACTTCTAGTTGTTCGATGTTTTTTATTAGCATACTCTCTTGTTGAGTAAGCTTATGAATTCCTTCATCAATTTCTGTCACTTCTTCTGCACTTTTTGGAGAAATTTTAACAAGTAATTCCTGTTTGTCATTTTCTTGGCAATCTCTAAACGTAGCTTTTTTTGTGTGTCTCAAATAAATCAATGCTAATTTGATATTACTTTCTGTAATTCTATTGTTTCCACTTTTCTCTATGCAACTTTTTGTAAGCTCACTCAACGATAATAAAGTATTTTCTTTTTTACTATCAATTGTAGATAATATCAATTGTGCTAGTTCTTTTACAGTAGCAATATGAATATACCTTGCATTAGTATCAAAGATTGGTTCAGAAATGTAACTTTTTAACTTTGAAAAAGACCAAGATACCGGTTTCTTTACGAATATATCAATGGTCCATCCTGTCCATGTGCTACTAGATTCTTTTAAAAAATCTGATTCCAATATAACTTCACCATTTCTGCCAAAAAAATTATTAATCATTAATTACTGTTTCTTATTGACACTCAATCATTTTATAAAACTATTATTTTACAATAAATTATTTTTATTTTTACTTGTAAAGTTCTTGTAAAACTGTTGGTAAGCATAAAGCTGTGACTCCATCTCTCTTAAAATTTAGATTCAAATCACTCATTGTAATGCTACATTGGGCATTGTAGATTGCCCAAGTTTTAATCAACTGATTCCAAAATTTGTACTTAGAACTCCAATCTTCAGGGTTGACAGAGCGACTGCGAAATGGAGCAAACAAAGATTTCATTCTTTCTTCTTGATTCCAACATTCTGGCAACTTGTCAACAGGTAAAGGGATAGGAGTTGAAATTTTCTGCGAGGACATGATTGTAATCTGCAATGACTATTACAAACAAAAATGTATTTATGAACTAAGTGAGCTAACAAATTAAAAAAAGATATATTTACAGTATAATAATAACGGATGCAGCGAAATTATTACAGAACAAATATATGCTATGAGAGCAGATTTAAAACTGCTTTATCATGTGCAATTTCTGTTCATTAGAAAAACAACGTATATTCGTAATGAAACGTTTTCAATTAACTCGATTTGGTACATGATAATCTATTATTATGATCATAATATTTCTAACATTTACTACAAGAAAAAAGCAATGTATAATTATCGTAGTTCACTAATTATCAAAATAACTATAGAGTAATACGCAATTAGTGCAGACGGACAGTAACGTGCTCGTGCATATAAAATTATTTTATTTTTACAATTTTGTTCGTATAGGCTGAAATTGACTATCTGTTTTACAATAAATTACAAAATTTACGAGTTTTCAGACAATCAAGTTTTCCTCTGTGACCGTCAGCTTCAATGAAGGAGAAAGACGCCATTAAAACGAAACGAAACGAAGTTAGCGCGCATGTGTGTGTTGCATGGTGTGGCTGACTTTTCGGACGAAAAATGGCGACTCGTCTGCTAAGAATTAACTCCGCTCTGCGGAAATACGCGGACAAGAATGGATTTTTCCAGGTTTGTCTATCGATACTTTGCTTTATCTCGTAATTTTTATTTTCCTACAATTTTTAAATGAGAAGATGCTTATAAGTGCAGTTCTATTCTAGTTCAAAAAAATCAAACAATTATCAGTTTTGACGGTACTTTCCTTACGTAATCCAACATAATTCAATAACTTTTTATTATTTCTAGAATTATTTAAAATGTATTTTTGATTTTGTTCATTTATTTTCTATTATTCAACAGTTTATCACTTTCCATGTTTATTTTACCAAGTTCTTACCGTCTTGCAATATCCTAACCTTAAGCACATTTACTACATTTATCCCAACATACTTTTCTAACGTTACAAGTGTTTATTTTTTTTTATATTAACTTTTTTTTAGATTTCTAAGCAGTGGAGATCAACTGCCGCAGCATCATCTCTCAAGGAGGCACTTATTAATCAACCACCAACCAAAACCACAACATTAGATAATGGTATGAGAATTGCCACCGAAGACAGTGGTGCAGCAACAGCCACTGTTGGTCTTTGGATTGATGCTGGTAGTCGATATGAAACTGATGAAAACAATGGAGTTGCTCACTTCATGGAGCACATGGCTTTCAAAGTATATCTCTTTTTCAATACTGCATAATCAATGCATATGGAGCATTTTTTCTGAGATAAAGTTAATTATATTTATGTTTGATCACAGGGTACAGCAAAGAGATCACAAACTGATCTTGAGCTGGAAATTGAAAACATGGGTGCTCACTTGAATGCTTACACCAGTCGAGAGCAAACTGTCTTCTATGCCAAATGTTTAGCTCAAGATGTTCCTAAGGCTGTTGAAATTCTTAGTGATATAATCCAAAATTCAAAATTAGGGGAAAATGAAATTGAAAGAGAACGTGGGGTGATTTTGAGAGAAATGCAAGAAGTAGAAACAAATTTACAAGAGGTTGTATTTGATCATTTGCACTCTGTTGCTTACCAAGGAACTCCTTTAGGAAGAACCATTCTTGGACCTACTGAAAACATCAAATCCATTAATAGGAATGATCTTGTCAACTATGTCAAGAATAACTATGGCCCACCAAGGTATATATTTCATTTGAGTATTTTATCCAAATAATAAATGAATATTCATACCAATTGTAAAATAACAAGTATGATATTCATTGTCAAATAATTACATTAATTTTTGGTGTTTAATGTCATTGATTTACTTTGAGAGCAAAATTTATTTGAAACAAAATTACTTAGCTAATTACCTAATCTAAGTCCCAAGTCTTGAGAAAGTAATAATATATAACCGTTGCAGGTTTGTTCTTGCTGGAGCTGGCGGTGTAGATCACCAACAGCTCGTTCAGCTAGCTGAACAACACTTTGGTCAAATGAAAGGACCCATATACGACAAAATTCCCGATCTTGATCTTCCCTGCCGTTACACAGGGTCCGAAATCCGTGTTCGTGATGACTCGATGCCTCTTGCACACGTGGCAATCGCTGTTGAAGGTAATTTATTATTTAAACTATTGATAAAACACTTGATGATTAATAAGTGAAAATTCATATAATTTACAATTAAAACTTGTAATAGGTGCCGGTTGGAAAGAAGCCGATAACATTCCCTTAATGGTTGCAAATACCTTGATGGGTGCTTGGGATCGTAGTCAGGGTGGCGGTTCCAACACCGCAACAAATTTGGCGAGAATCGCTGCATCTGGTGAATTATGCCACAGTTTCCAGAGCTTCAACACATGTTACAAGGTTCATCACTAGACTCATGAATAACCATATTTTCCAAATGATTATAATATATTTTAACAAAAAGATAATACTTTCAATTCGAGTTCACTAAAAGGAAAGCTAATTCTACTTTAATAACTATAAATTTCATTATAATTCGTAGGATACTGGTTTGTGGGGAGTTTACTTTATCTGCGAGCCCATGCAAATCGAAGACATGGTATGGAACATTCAACAAGAATGGATGAAGATTTGCACAAACCTTCGTGAAAAAGATGTAGATAGGGCAAAGAATATTCTTAAGACAAACATGCTTCTGCAGTTGGATGGAACTACCGCTGTATGTGAAGATATCGGCAGGCAAATGCTTTGCTACAACCGTAGAATTCCTCTTCATGAACTCGAGGCCAGAATAGAAGTAAGCATAGCTTTAATTATTATCTTCGATGTGAATTATAATACTTGTTATATTAAATAGATATTAAAATCACTCTTCATAGTGAAATAATTTAGCAAAATGTTAAATAATATTTTAAACGGACAATCACTAATAATAACGTATTGTTACAGAGTATCACAGCTAAAACTGTACAGGATGCTGGCATGAAATACATCTACGATCGCTGCCCAGTCATAGCTGCAGTTGGTCCGGTTGAAAATTTGACTGACTACAACATGATCCGTGGTGCTATGTACTGGATTAGATATTAAATTCCTTTCGCCTACAACCAGTCGAACTATTATTATTTTATAGATAATATGATTTGCGACCTTGATTAATTAAAGTACGTGTAAGATATGTTGACATCCTTGAAAGTACTGCTACGATGATATGCATGTACAATATCAGTATGGAAATAAAAAAAATAATTTCATTTTTTTCACTGTTATTATTCTTGTAAATAAATTGAATTACATTAAATGAGATTTCAAGTTCACCACAATGTTCAAAAGTTTTTGTTACAATTAAAATATTTATTATACTTAAATAATATGTCACATAAAAATGCCCAATAAAAATAATCTAAATTAATAGTACGTTTTGATTTAATACTGACTAGAATGTTTAACTTAATCCTTATTTGCTATTCAATGGTCGAAAAGGCTAATATTTTTTACTAAAAATTACAAATTGTCAAATTGAATGCACAATAAATTGCACAAATGTTTTTCAAAATTCGATTATAAAGAAAATCTATGTCAGTGTATTGTTATAAGTCGTAAAATTAGAAAAGTTCAACTACATATGTACAAAATGGATTCACAAGAGATTCAATAACTAAACGCATTCAAATTCTATCTATTGTTAAAATGCATTAAAATGCACATTATCCTGGATTTAACTATTTGACTATCTGCCAAGAGAATTTGCAGGTACTGTTGTGTGAGTTGAAGGTAGAGGATCCTTGCAAATTTTAGCTGTCATTTCTGCTAATGGCTCCAATTCCTTGTGATTAATCAATTCAAATTCAGTCACGAAATAATAGAAATGTTTATAACAAGTATTGACATGAGCTTCCTGAAATAGGAAAAAAAACGAATGGAAAACAATTGATTAATTTTAAAACAACTTCTACTCCAAAATTAACTTACAGCTCCTATAGCGACGATTCTGTCAAAGTGATGAATGTATACATGCACAAAAACTCGAAATAGTCTTGTTAGAATTTTTCTGCACAATGGTATGAAAGTTTTTGGAAATGGCACATCTGAACAAATATTATTCATATAGTTTAAAGTAGCAGAATTATACAAATAATAAATTAAATTAATTAAAGATAGCAACCAGTAAAACAGGTTTTCTATTTATAAATTATACAAAAGCATAAAAAAAAATTCTACCTGTTGAGACTGGAAATAAGTTTTCATTATTGATTTGTGTTTCAATCCATTCCATCAGCAGAGAAACATATTGAGGTGCTGGAAGAGCTGTTGGCTTTTTATATTTATCACCATCTGCCCATAAGTATTCAAAGCGAGCACCACCACTCATTGTTGGACAGGAAGTTGAGTCACAGTATTCAGATATTGTGCCATAAATGAGATTAATTCTGTTGAAGAAATCCACAACTGCCAACATGGGTGATAATTAATCAGCAGGCCCTCATAATAAAGTAAACTAATTAGAGATATCAATGTAAGATATACTCTATTTTAAACTGAATTCAAAATACTTTATCATTCATGATTTCAACAGTTCAAATGTATTACTGAAATAAATGTTAGTTTCTAAGTTATATAACAATATTTGAAGCATGATAAGAGATGAGAAGAGTGACCCATATTCTAAAATTAAGACTCAATTTGCCAGTAGAGAAATACGAATTTCTTAGTTTACTTTTTCGTCGGTGTGCTATACATATTAAAACACAAGACTCACCATGAACAGCAATCCAGTCACTAATTTCTTCTCCAGGTGGCAGTTTTACAGCTACGCGTAAATTAATACCGGAGTTCAAGGATGCCTGCGCTTGTTTGTAGAGCGAATATCGCATAGTACCGTGCGTTAGTTTCTTTTTTGGACGGAAAGTCTGAAATAGCAATATTCACCTCTCAGTAATTTTCCAAAAAATTTGTGTTGAATAATGGCATCTCTCCTCCCGGGGTCAACAATTGCAATCCAAAAATAAACAAACAATTGCAATCAGCTGATAGCGGCACGGGGAAAAAATTCCAACAGCCATACGGCATGAGTAAGTCGCTGATTAAAAAAAATGTAAAGAAAAAAGCGTGAACGCGCACTCGAACAAATTGAACGCGCGTACACCTGCGTCTACGTAATAGGTATAAAAGTACCTCAAGGATCATAACATTGAGTTGGAGGTTATGCGTAATAAAGCAAAGCGACCCATCAATAACTACGTACCTTTCCTTTCTGGAAGAACTCGACGAAGCCGCTGAGCGATGCCATTGTCGACTTGTTATTATTGACTATATTTTTTTGAGTGAAAGCAACATCGATTATTGCCAGCGAACACTTGGCGGTGCGAAATTCCGCGCGTCCTCTCCGAAAAAGAGCAACCAACAACTTTTGCCTCTATGATATAGTTGCGCTGACTGTCGTGGCCAGCCAGCCAGCATCACATCGACAACCCATTCGCGCAGCTCTACGGAGGCGCCAACAATACAATGAACGTTGAGGGGAAGGGAGAGGACACCCCCAACTTTGGTGCGAGAGGAAATCAACTTCCGAACGAAGAGAGTCTGTTTCTGCTTTATCGAGCGATATGCGCGTATAACACGATGGCTTCGACTTCGCCTGTAGTTTCTGCGGTTCGTTCGTAACTTTTTTTCACTGATAGAACTAATGCTTCTCGTGACAATTTTTATTGGCCATTTTTTGTGATATTTACATAATGCAGATTTGATAAATCTTGTCAGCACGTATACAACGTGTAAACGTGGAGCAATTTACGCGTAAACTGTTAAATTAAATAATAAAAATTTAGTTCGATGAAATGTAACTAGAATGTCACGCGAAAATAAATAAATCTGCTTTCATCTAACTTTTATATATAATTAAAGTCAGACAAACTGTCTCGAAAAATTACGCGCTTGCATATATATCGAATATACTGTCTCTGGCACTAATTTCTTTGCTCAGTCAGCTTTTCTTCTCGCTACAAAACTGAAAATGGAAAAATCATTATCAGCGTTCCCCGAGAAACCTTAAATGGAAAGTTCGAATAACTTAAATGTTGACACTTTAAGCAAAATGCGGTGCAAGAGAACTCCGATAAAAAAAAATTTAATAATCCGTATTTCGTGCCATAACGTGTACGCGAAAATATTTGAGTATATTACGTATTCAAGCGTGAAACTCTCAGCGAGAATGAGATATACTAACAATAAATCGCTTACGGACCCGAACGTGATCTTTGTTTTAATATATCATGATGATTTCGGTGACAAGTTTCGATTAATTATTTTTTGTGCATACAGCAAAGTGTGATGGTCAAATGACACTTTGACTTTCTTGTTTTGACGTTATTATTTGAATAATAACGGAAACTTGTGCAACTTTATATAATTAGTAATAAATGATTAAAAACAATTAGTATTAAATGTTATAAGAAGCAACTAGATAATTAATTTGAAAATACATATTGATTACTCAATATTAATCGACGGTTTATCGAATAATTGCCTTCTTTCGTTCGGAAAATTTCTTTCCTCTGAAACTGTGTATCATTTCCATCGTGAATAAAAAAACTTGACGGCATTAGGTTTGCAAACAAAAAATATTCTGCGCATGCAACATATGGGTGGTGGTTTGTGTGTGGGTTATACCGAAAGTTGTCAAGCTCGAAAAGTGGGTCATCCACCCTTAGTTTGTTTTACATACCCACACATGCGTAGCTACGCATATGAAGAGAGGAAGGAGCTGAGATAGCTAAGTTGGTGTCGACTAGGTGGCGCTAGTGTTGCCGCGGCGTTGTGTACACTCCGCTCTGCTGGCTGTCGCTTCGGCATTCGCGGCGAGTAGAGCCGCAACTGTTGCTGCACTTGCCGTCCGACTGTCCGGGTGTTAACGTGCGCGCAACTGCTGTTTCTCTGCGATCATCATCACACACATACACATATCTACCAACGTATATACACACACATAAAGAGCAAAGGGCTGGCGCTTATAAAGCTGCTACAACCCCTCGAGGCTACAAAACAGCTTGTGTAGGTGGCCCAGTTTTTTCTTCTCTCTCTCTCTCTCTCTCTTTCTCTCTCTCTCTCTCTTTCTCTCTCTCTTTCTCTCTCTCCCTCTCAGTCAGTGTCAGTGTGTTTGTGTCTCCTTTCTTTTCTTCGTGCATTTGAGGATCCAAGCTGCTTCTTGGCACCACGTGCATTAGTGTGAGTTTCTGTCGACAATTTCTTGGCTCTTTTCTTTATCTGAAAAGGGTCAATGTCTTTTCTTATATATTCTTCGACATATAGGCCCTTTGTGTGCGTGCGACTTGGTATACAATAGTGTGCAGTGAGAGTGTGTGTACTGCAATACCATCAAGGGCCGAGGAACTTACAGCAGCAGCCTGTCGAGCAAAAGAAAAAACAACAACGGCGAAGACGGAGAGCCTCTTCATCGGCGGATTATTCTTGGCGCCGCGTCTTGTGAGTTTTCTTTTTTTTTTGTGTTTTTTTTTGCGTAACAAAAACAAAGCTGCAACTCGACAAATTGTTTCTCATACATTTTCACCAGTTTATTAACAGCAAAAAAATGAAGAAAGGGGAAACAAACACACGCATGGCATGCGCCGCTATATGCGAGTTATGAATGTTAAGTGAGGAAACGAGGTGCGCGCTTGGCCGTTACGACCCGATTCTTTCGACGTTTCACGCTTAGTTACATCTTTTTGTTTCGAAAAGCCATATAATCCTCCGACAAAATAATTCTCCAAGCTACTCGCGACAGAAAAGAAAAAGCGAAGTTGCGCAAAAACAGAAAAATTGTTACCATTGCAAGTAATGATCGATCAATTATTGAAACAGTTTTCTAAGGACGCGGTGATGTACGTTGTCGTAGCCGGGACAACATCAAATGGTTATATTTTTAAAACCAGGTTAAGCAAAAAAAGAGTAAGTCTTGCGCAAGCTTTTATCAACAATTTCCAATTAATACGTGTAATTAGTCAAACCATTCCTGAAAAAAATTCTATAATTTGCATTATAAAAAAGTTAATGTTGACAAAATTTACACTTAGCTCAAAATACTTATTTTCTTTTCATTAAAGTTTCTCTCTCTATATATCTATCTATCAATATCCATCCACCACTTGCATCAAAGGAAAAATAACAAATGTTTTCTCTTTTCTTCATAAAAATCACGTTGACAGTAAGCAGTGCGATGAAATGAAGGGAAGCAATCAAGCAAAACGTCAACGAAAAAAAAAGTGCACGTATATCGCAAGTTTTGTCTTTCCGTTTAATCAGCTGTATCTTTCGCAGCAAAGTGTATAAAGTAACTTCAATAATCCTTCTCGCTGGCAAATTAATGAAAAATAATCGTCGCCGCTTTATAATAAAGTCGCCAGCGAACCATAGCAGCGAGTAGAGGAGCGTGCGACCGACACATGTGTTCAAGCATTATTATAATGTGACGTGCGCGCGTGTACTTTAGTCTCACTCCGCGATCTTTTTCAATTACACAATTTGCCGCTATTTTCCCTGTAGATGCCATGCGGTAATTATCCTATCGCCGTGTACATGTGCCTTGCTTTTCATTCCTCCTGACAACGAGCTATTTACAATTGGTCAATCTTCTCTATTTCTCTTTCTTTCCCACGTCTCTCTCTCTCTCTCTCTTTTTATTCATAAATATTCACGAGATTTTATTCAGATATATCGTGCGCGTTGCGTGTACAGGATTTTTTACGAATAGCCGCTGGATTTGAGCGTTGAAAATTGATGAGCGTTGTAGCTTTGGATCCTTTTTGTAAGCTATTTTTCACATTCGCCCGACGATTACTTACATTGATTTTCGAAAAAAAAAAACGTCAATGTGTTTTCTCGAAAATTCACCATGTTGCAAAAAAAATAAATAAAACAGAATTAACAGGAAAGCCTGCATTTATCAAAAAATTAATCGAGATTAAATTCATCGACAGTGCATGTGGCTGAATTTCACAGAATACGTAGTATGTGAAAGAATGCGAATTTCTGCATAAATTTCAACGAGTCTGAGACTTCATTTGATTTTGCGTATTTAGGTTACATTTGCCACAAACGTATCATGTTTGAAATGATTGCTATTGATACAAGATCTTTTTTTCCTGTGCCTATCTCATTACGATAGCCGATGAAAGTGATAAATGCGGCATAAACGTTTGCTGAAAATTGGAACACGCATTTACAAGGCCGCGTATAAGCTCTATTGTCAAGCTAAAGCATAATTAGTAAATAAAAAATCCAAGCAAGGTACGCGCTCAAATCGCAATTTCAACGCGAAGCCCACGTCAAGTCGCCGCATACCGTCACGACGTCCGATCAACTCTGACATGAATTGAGTAATGCCGCCATATAGTTTACGCTCTGTCGCTCATCCCGCAGCTTGGAAAATAGCCATAAATCTTCTGCGCGAGTGCGACCGCTCTAAAACGTTGAAATGCGCATAATAATTGTTCAAGTCGTCGCTATTCCTGAAAGGTATGAGAATATCAACGTCAACGATTATACTTCACGAGCGAAAGAGAGACAAACAAAGCGTAAAGTGAATTTTCGATATGTTTTCTTTTGCAGCTCTGTAAGAATCCTGCGGATCGCATTTCTGTGGATTATAAGCAAGAAGTACGTGACAAGGTCTTTTTATTAATGTTTTATTCCGCCTCTTTTTTGCTCCTCTTGCACTCGCTCTACCTTTTTTCCTTATTTCTAATTCACAAGAGATTGCATTCGAGAGCGATTCAGTTTACTGGAGTTTTCTGATTTTCAAGGCATTTAAATTGAGATTTGAGGAAAATATCATTTTTTTAATATGAAACATTTTCCATGACGATGACGCTTCTAATCTGCTCGTGAAAATGCTAATATAGAAATACTCTCTAATTTGTTCGCCTAAACGTTTCTCAACGTCTACATTGACGAGCCTTACATTTTTAGTTACGCCTGAAGCGTTTTAGAGCTTGCGAATATGTGTAAATCCATTAATGGAGGCTCACTAATGGAATAGTTTAAACAAGCACGGGTGAACACTTGGCTAAGGTGTCCAAATTTGACAAGGTGAGTCGTTTGGAACGAACCCCATTTTAATAGTCAAAGTCCTCGAAAGGAAAAACTTGATTGGACGATTGAAATGCCAGCAGCGTCAGCCAGATTTAATTAAATTCTCAAATCAGGGAGCTTTCCGTCTTATCTAATCTGCTCATCTTTCTCAGCAAACCGATTGACGCTCGTTTTCTTTCCGCGAGTAGAAAACCCAAATATAATTAATCCCGAAAAGGACAGTCGACCGATGTTTTGCCAACGTTATAATAATATCGCGCGCGAGCCACAATAGAAATTATCTCATCCTCCGGCTCGGCCAACTTCTAGTAGTCCATGGCTAGTCGGGATTTCTCGGAATCTCGCATAGATATACGCATAGTTTCGTATGCGCGAGGTGCCAGCTGATCCGATTGCTTGTCGCTTTTTTTATACGTCTCCGGCGCTATTCGTTCACTGTCAAGAACGTCAACTCTAGTTTACTTTTTAGAAGTAGTCGCATTGTGATTTACGTGGCTTGATTGCGTAATCACCTCGCACATGGATGACAATTTTTAAGAAAAACATTTCCAAAACGACGAACTGCAGGCGTCCGCCAGCGAGAAAGCAAAGAAGATAATTTTACGCAAGGCATTGAAAACAATGGAGAGTTTTGTAAAAAATACCCGATGTCCTATATATGCAAAGCGTGTAATGGCAGCTCGGCTTAGGACCGGTTTTAT